CCCCACGCATGTTGTTATGACGATTCTGACTGATCGAATTTTCAACGAATTCTGTGGCTCAAGTGGTCCTTGAAAAATTTCGAAAAAAGCAGCGTAGTGTTTAAGACGATATTGCATCTAAAAAAAAAAAGCATGCAAATCTAAAACTTTTAATAATTTACTTATAACTTTAATAAGACTTTTTCAGACAACTGCCAAAAGTTACTTATCCATGGTTCACTTTCTAAAAAGACCATTTAGTTCTCTCTGAAATGATGTAAAAATGAGCGTTCTTCCTCATTTGGCTTCCGAGAAATGAGCAAAAAGGAAACGGAAAACATGAAATTTTGGCATAATCTTGCACATTAGTCTCTGATATTCAAATTTCGCCTTCTGTTCATGTTGTTATGACTGAATCGAATTTTCAATTCTCTATGCAACGATGTCAAAAAGGAATTATGTAGCTCAAATTGTTCTTGAGAAACTTCTAAAAGAGCAGCGTGATGTTTGAGTCGATTTTGCAAATCAAAAAACACGTAAATATGAAACTTCTTGAAATCAAGAGTTTTTTGAGACAACTGCCAATATTTCCTTATCGATAGTTCAATTTCTAAAACGTCCATTTAGTTCTTTCTGAAATCATGTAAAAATGAGGGTTTTTCCTCATTTGGCTTCCGAGAAATGAGCAAAAACTCGACGCAAAACATGAAATTTTGGAAAAATCTTGCAACTAAGTGTCTGATATTTAAATTTTGCCTTGTGGGTCAAAACTATTCGCATTTCCTCACTCATGCTGTGATGACTGAATCGAATGTTCATTTCTCTATGCAACGATGCCAAAACGAATTATGTAGCTCAAATGGTTCTTGAGAAACTTCTAAAAGAGCAGCGGCATGTTTGAGTCGATTTTGCAACTCAAAAAACACGCAAATTGGAAACATCTTGAAATCAAGAGTTTTTTGAGAAAACTGCCAATATTTCCTTCTCGATAGTTCAATTTCTAAAAAGACCATTTAGTTCTCTCTGAAATGACATAAAAATAAGGGATCTTCCTCATTTGGCTTCCGAGAAATGCGCAAAAACGGAACGCAAAACATTAAATTTTGGCAAAATCTTGCAACTAAGTGTCTGATATTGAAATTTCGCCTTCTGGGTCAAAACCATTCGAATTTCCTCACTCATGTTGTTATGACTTAATCGAATTTTCAATTCTCTATGCAACGATGCCAAAACGAATTATGTGGCTCAAATCGTTCYTGAGAAATTTCTAAAAKAGCAGCRTCATGTTTGAGTCGATTTCGCAACTCAAAAAACACGCAAATCTGAAAATCTTGCAACTAAGTGTCTGATTTTCAAATTTCGCCTKGTGGGWCAAAACTATTCGCATTTCCTCACTCATGCTGTGATGACTGAATCGAATTTTCAATTCTCTATTCAACGATGCCAAAACTAATGTTGTGACTCAAATGGTTCTTGAGAAATTTCTTAAAGAGCAGCGTCATGTTTGAGTCGATTTTGCAACTCAAAAAACGCGCAAATTGGAAACTTCTTGAAAGCAAGACTTTTYTGAGAAAACTGCCAAAATTTCCWTATCGATGGTTCACTTTATAAAAAGACCATTTAGTTCTCTCTGAAATGATGTAAAAATAGCGTTCTTCCYCATTTGGCTTCTGAGAAATGAGCAAAAACGGGACGGAAATCATGAAATTTTGGCATAATCTAGCACCTAAGTGTCTGAACCCCATCCGCCAAAGAAAGATTTAAAGCATAAATTTGAAAAAGCTGCAGAAAAAAACATCCGCAAAAATTGGCGATAATCCATAACACATTCGCAATGGAGCATGAGTATTATTTTCGGTTGATGGACATGAGCACATACCAATCGAGGTTAAGAATGTTAATTACAAAAATTCCAGTCAGCGGATCCAAGGTGGCGCATGCCAGTGGAAAAAGTACCAAAACAAGTGAATAAATCGGTCGACGGTGGCTGCGGCGTCGCTCAGGGTCGACGACGATCGGTTACGTCAGGGTTGGGCGCCGAATGGACGTGGTCGAAAATAAACACGCGGTTGAGCAACTGGAGCTCCAGCCGAAAGGCGAAAGAACGACCATAGAACGACCTTCGAAGGCCGCCATCACCAAAGATCAAACAACTCGCTGATATG